TGTCCCTGGTGTCCCTGCTGTCCCTGTCCCTGCTGTCCCCAATGTCCCCAATGTCCCTGCTGTCCCCAGTGTCCCTCTGTCTGTCCCTGCTGTCCCTGTCCCTGCTGTCCCCACTGTCCCTGTCCCTGTCCTCTCTCCCAGTCCACGTTGCTGAGGGGGTTCTGCACTGGTACCAGCGGGTGCTCTGGGTGCGTCCCTGTCCCTGATGTCCCCAGTGTCCTTGTTCCTGCTGTCCCTGTCCCTCTGTCTGTCCCTGATGTCCTTCTGTCTGTCCCTGCTGTCCCTCTCTCCATCCCTGATGTCCCTGTCCCTGATGTCCCCAATGTCCTTGTTCCTGCTGTCCCTGTCCCTGTCCCTGTCCCTGCTGTCCCCATCCATGTCCTCCCCATCCATGTCCCTGTCCCTGCTGTCCCTGTCCCTGTCCCTCTGTCTGTCCCTGCTGTCCCTGTCTGTCTGTCTGTCCCAGTGAGGGACGCCGAGGGCGTGCTGCGCCGGTACCAGCGGGTGCTGCGGACGTTCCAGCGGCTGCGCTCCATGAGCCCTGGCCCTGTCCCTGCTGTCCCTGATGTCCCTGTCCCTGCTGTCCCTGACGTCCCTGTCCCTCTGTCTGTCCCAGTGAGGGACGCCGAGGGTGTGCTGCGCCGGTACCAGCGCGTCCTGCGGACGTTCCAGCGGCTGCGCTCCATGAGCCCTGGCCCTGTCCCTCTGTCTGTCCCTGTCCCTGCTGTCCCTGATGTCCCTCTGTCCCTCTGCCTGTCCCAGTGAGGGATGCCGAGGGTGTGCTGCGCCGGTACCAGCGGGTGCTGCGGACGTTCCAGCGGCTGCGCTCCATGAGCCCTGGCCCTGTCCCTCTGTCTGTCCCTGTCCCTGCTGTCCCTGTCCATGTCCTCCCCATCCATGTCCCGCGGCTGCGCTCCATGAGCCCTGTCCCTCTGTCTGTCCCTGATGTCCCTCTGTCTGTCTGTCCCAGTGAGGGACGCCGAGGGCGTGCTCCGCCGGTACCAGCGGGTGCTGCGGACGTTCCAGCGGCTGCGCTCCATGAGCGGCGCGTTCCGGCACCACCGCGTCGACCGCAACACGGTGGCCCTGACGACGCCGATCGCGGAGCTTCGCCTCGTGGCCCCCGAGAAGCTGCGCGAGGTGGGCGAGTTCGACCCCGCCAAGGAGCGGCTGCTCGACTACTCCCGGCGCTGCTTCCAGGCCCTGGACCCCGAGACCCTGCGCAAGGTGCAGGCCCTGAAGCAGAGCAAGCTGCTGCTGCCCATCACCTACCGCTTCAAGCACTGAGGGACCCCCGAATGGGGACCCCCA